TGGAGGTGCATTCTTTGGTCGATATGTGGTTGTTGCTCCAAAAACTCGACTAAGGTCTTTGGTAGCTGCAGACCCATAACATATCAGAACAGACCTTTCTTTTACTCTCTAAACAAGGAATCATATGTTACTGTGGGTTATAGATCACACGCCTCTCATTCTAGAACCGAGTAATGAACGAGTAGAGGCTCTTGTTTTGCCCTTTCCTTATCTGCAGAAAGGTCTGTGAAATTTTCTCAGTCTTCTGGGCACTCACAAGCTGTGCCACAAACATCTTTTTGAAGTTAGCTAGCGATGTGATCACCCTCAATGACAATTTGTTGAACCACCTGAGGGTTGATCCCTTAATGTGGTGAAGAATAGACGAAACTTTAGTGCATCTATAATTCTCAACAAACATGCGATTGTCTTGAAGGAAGCTATGTGGGCTGTTGGATAAGTTTGACCCTTTGTAAGATTCCAATGTATGGATTTTGAATCTTTCCGGGGTTTCAACTTTATAAATAAGTTGAGTGAAGACATTCTCTAGTTAACGAGACACCTTAGGGCCTCCGAACCATTGTTTAAACATTGGTGCCAACCTAACACTGTGAAAGTATTGTGAATCTCATTCTTTTTCCAAAATCAAGGATGCCCTTTGGTTGTTGGGCACCAACCCATCCTCTCATGGGTTATACTCCTTGATCTAATTCCTCTCAAAGGACATCCATCATCTAGTTTTTCAACTCTTGGGTTTGTGGTTGTACAAACTCCCTGTTGCATTATATATTACAGGTGCCCCTGCTATAATTGAGGCGTTACATAATATTTTAAGTATTTTACATATATGTTCATGGACTTGCCTACCGTTTAGCTTAGTTGGCTAAAATGTGGGCCTTGATTTGATGAGACATGTTCTTCTGATAGTGCTGAATTGGGGTTGTTGACTGGCCTTTGATAATTTTTCAAGAACAAAAATTGACTCGGTCGACTTGATTTTGACTGGATGTTCTAATCAGGTTGTCGACTGATGTGGGCCTTGGTTTGATGAGACATGTTCTTCTTATAGTGCTGAATTGGGTTTGTTGACTGGCCTTTGATAATTTTTCAAGTCAACAAAAATTGACTCGGTTGACTGATTTTGACTGGATGTTCTAATCAGGTTGTCGACTAATTATTTTTGAATGAGGAGCTCCTATTGACATAATAAGACTATATTGCTAGATAGAAAATGAATCACCGTAATCTGACAAATATCTCATTTATTGACGACGCGGTCCTTCAAGAAACTTGTTGGTTATATTATTGTCAATTATTGTGACATGATGAGTAATTTTAGGGGCATTCGTGAGATGACTAAACTCTTCCCTTCAGTCAGGTTGTGGCGAGAGATAGGCCAATATTTATGCTCGACTTGATCAGCCTGTCCTTCTTTCGGATGACCTACATTCGATCGACTTCTAGCCTTGCTTCAGAGACGTTGTATCTGATCAAGTGAGTGAATCTTTTGGTCTTTCTCCAGTTGACCCTCCTTAACTATATTTTTTTGTCTTATAGTTTGTTGGATCTCCTCGAGATTCATGTAGATACATTTGTGATGTACATAATATATTTAGATTTCTTAGAATTAGTTAATTTCCCTCAAATATATGCAGGTAAGAGTAGAGACGAAGCATCAAGCATCTAACCAGAGAAACTATACCAGAACCTACATCAAGCTACAAACCCAGATGAATCACATGGCTAAATTACAGTGGTCTGGTCGCTATCGAAGGGCCCTAGATGCGGCACGTGTCCTTCCGAAGACTCCAAAAAATATCTGAGAGTCTATGGGCCCCAATTTTGACTCGGGCGCAGTGGGCAACCGGGAATGACCGTGCCCGAGTTCCGTTTCTTTTGGGCTTCAAACAAAGGAACCAAATGACTCACGTATCTACCGGTTGTGCCGGTTGCTCTACGGACCTGCCTGTCGTCTACTAGCTGGCTTTCCTCGCCTTCTTGCTGTTTTCTGCTCCTTGTGTTGCTCTTCACAGTGCGGTATCGCGTGCTGGTGGAGTGGTTCCGGTCATTGCCTGCTTCTGAGGTCAGCGAATCTCCATCCGCTCTTTTTTCTTTTTGTGTAAATTTCTTGATCCATTGTCCGATTTTTTAGTTTCATACTTTATTTCAGATCTGGTTATTTGATGATTTCGATTGGTTTGAAGTGTTGCACTTAAAACCCAAGTGATTGTTCGATGCATCTGATCTGATTTAATACCGCTTTTTATCCTTTATTGTGTTTTTATCTTGTTCTAGTTAACTATGCTTCTGCACTTATGCCTAAAAGTTCATGGAGTTTGACTTTGTCCTTTGGGTTTATATTTTTTATTGGCTATGATTGGGAATATCTTGTTTTCTTTTTTTTTTTTTTTACTTTGTTGCACAGACGTTCTTATCATGAAAGACCATACCGCGGACTTTGGTTTGAACCGCGCTTTCTACTTCCTTGATCTCTGATATAAAATTTTTGATTCAGTACCTTTTTGAGAAAGAAGTTTGATGTATTTCACCTAATGATGTTGACACGATTGTTCTGCAGAACATTTGTATTTTACTGATAGGTTTTAATTAGTTTTCTGCCTTGCAGAACATTTGTATTTCGCAGCAGGGTTTCTTCATTGTATGTTTTGAGCATCTCTCTAGTTTTCTGAACTGATTTTCTCTCTCTCTCTCTCTCTCTCTTTTCCATCATAGTTTAATCTTACTCTACGTCGGATTCCTTATCCGTCGATAACCTTAATTTCTGAGTCCCTTCTATAGAATCCAGTTTTGCATATAGCCACATTTTTTTACATGTTTTGCGCATCTTTGGATGGACATTTTTTTCACTTTTTTAATGGATCTTTAGGTGGTATTTCCTCAACATTTGTTTTTCTATGCTTTCTCTGTCTTAATGCTTCTTTTCTTCATTATGCTAGATATACAAATTTAATACTGTTATTGCAGGGAGCTCTCTAATCTAGGATGAAGGGAGGGAAGGGGGGGAGGGCCACAACCAAGAAGGAAACTCCAGAAGTACTAAAGCCATCTGATGTCAGGTTTATCTCATGCTTTACTCTTTCCTATTGTTGGCAGATCTCAACTTGTTCTTTTATTAGTTTGAATTCTTCATTGTTAACAATATCTTTTCAGCATGGGAGAATCCATAACCTCTCAATACTTGTGTTATTAGAAAACGCCGGAATTGTGAGCCTAATCATAAGCTATCACCAGAACAGCTTGTCATGGGACATAGGACTTGAAAATCCTCTGAAAGAACAATACAATTATTGTTATCAGGGACATCATTTATGGCTTTATTTTACCATTTGGAATTACTGTGTTGTTTAAAGCACTTACGATGATAAATTTTTCTATTATTTCCTTTTTGGAGCAAAAGTTTGACTAAGCTGTGCATATAATTTGATTGCATGCACTGTTTTTAATTCACAAGGCTTGGCAAACGCAAAACTGCTACAAAGGCTGAGAAGAGTAGAAAGCCCAAAAAGGATAAGAAGCCAAAAAAGGACCCTAACAAGCCAAAGAGGCCGCCCAGCGCTTTCTTTGTTTTCCTGTTAGTAAATTTTTTCTGTATTTTTTCATATTTATTTATGTGACTACATCTCAGTTATTTTTGCTGGATAGTTTAATTATCCAATGCATGGTTTGCATGAGAATATTTCAGGGAAGAGTTCAGGGAGATATATAAGCGAGAACATCCTAGTGTCAAAGCTGTATCAGTTGTAAGAAATGATTCATGCTAAAATAAGCCATGATAAATGTTTTTAATGTTCAGTCATTATATTTTTTATTATTTTTTTCATTTGCTCTAACATTCTCTATTAATCTGAAGGTTGGTAAAGCTGGAGGAGAAAAATGGAAATCATTGACTCGTGCTGTATGTATATCTATCTTTTGAATAATTATGAGTGCTGAATTGCTTGATGACAACTGCTGCAAATATGATGAACTTTTTTTTTTTAAAATGTTTAAGGGTCCCATCGATCTTACGCATGCTCTTAAACTAGAATAATACTTTTAATTTGAGCCTGTTGTGTTATGAGCAAGTCAAGTTATTGCCGTGCAAAGTGGCATTGGACCATAGCTACATCTCAATTTCTATTTTTCTTTGGGACTATAATCATCGTAGTTGCGGATCCTTTATTCAACTCTGCATCCTTGTAGCAATGATCTCATGGATGTTTATAATAACAGTCTTCGTACAAATGCTCCACGTTCTCCATATACCTGCTGCGACAACAGTGGATAGGGGTGCTCTCTATTTCATTTACATTTACATTTCATTAATATTTCATTAACATTTCATTAATATTTCATTAACATTTCATTTTTATATGTTAAAATATAGGATTTCAGATGTATGGTTTCAGTCATTTCATTAACATTTCATTTTTACCTGTTAAAATATAGGATTTCAGATGTATGGTTTCAGTAAGGGTGTAAGCAAAAGTTTTATAATGTTACTTTGATAATTCTATCTGCATCTGTTTTGTTCTAATGGTATTAGAGCAGGCGTCTGGCCTACAAAGGGACGATCTCGCCACAAATACCAGGGAAGCCTCTCACTCCTTAACCATATCCTCCTATGTGGCCTCTACTACAGTTCACTAGGGTTCTTCGACCCCATTTGCGCAAGGTACATTTGATTTGCCCCCCTGTGAGTTCAATTCATGGAAGACTTGGTGACCTCCAATCCATTCTCTTCCCCACGTCTAGCCATCAATGGATCACCCTCGACATTTCTACTCTCCCACATCAAGCTTCTAGCTCAAAACCAACTAACATCCGACAACTATCCCATATTGCGTGCCCAGATATTGTGGATTATCACTACTAACAAATTCCTTGGCTTTCTGGATGGCTGTCATCCGTGTCCACTGCAATCCATTGCTTAACCGAACAATCCTAATGCCCCAAATCCCAGTTCACAACATGGACATACAACGATCAAAATCTCTCCATAGCCCTGTTGTCCACAATTTCAGCGTTGATCCTACCCTCCAACTCCGCACAATGACTGAGATATGACATACTCTCGAATGATGCCTCCAACCTACAAACCGCTCTAAGGTAATCAGTTGAAGAATAAACATCATCACATAAACATGAAATCCAATACAATGGCGCAAAACCTCTCAGAAATAAAAACTACAGTAGATAATGCCTTGGCGGCTAGAGCTCACATTGATCCAAAGGATGTTATCCTATATACCCTAAATGGACTACCATCTCCAACCCATTCACTTGAACGATTTCTACTCACTATTGTGCAACGACGGGGCAAACTTCGCTACAGAAGATGCTAAACTCATCACTCCAATTGATCCAAACATTGCACTATTTGCTTCGAAGAACCGATCCAACTTCAACTATAGGGGCCGCAACCGCAACTCAAGTGGAGGTGGGAGAGGACGCTACTCTACACCTCGACCGACTAATGCATGCCAAATTTGTCATAAAGTCGGACACTCTGTTTCAACTTTCGAGCACAAAATCTTGATTACATAACACCTCAGTTGCCTCAAGCTCTCATAACACATGCTCAAGATTGGGTATTAGATTCTGGTGCTACTGCACATTTGACTTCCGACATCAACTAACTTCAGGAGCTGAAACCACTCACTACAAGCGAGTACATAGTCATGGGCAATGGTTGAACATACGGGTGACGACCTCCTTTCCACTCCACACTGTAAGCTTCTACTCACCTTACTTATCTCATAACCTCCTTTCAATCCATAAATTAATGAAAGATAACAAAGTCATTGTCTCTTTTAACCCCTCTGATTTTTCTATCACTGATCCACATACTAATTGAGTTCTACTCCAAGGCCCTAGCTTCCATGAACTTTACTTCATTCCAGCTCTTTCCGTCACTCTCCAAAAATTAGCCACTTCCGATCTTTGGCACAAACACTTGGGACATCCACATCTAGCCATCGTCAACACCATCTATAAAACACAACATTTCCATATTTTTCCTTCTTTAACCATATGTAATACATGCCGACTTACAAAGTCACACAAAAAGCCGTTTGGTTCTAGTTTACTGTACAAATACAAGAAGTCAGAACGTCATTCCGATGTACGGGACTTCCCCAATTACTACCATTTATGGTTATCAATATTATCTCTTTTGTTGATGATGAATCTCATTTCTGTTGGATATATTCTTTGACTATAAAATGTTAAGCTACACTTAAGAGTTCAACATCATATGACAATGCTGCAAACACAATTTAACATAAAAGTTAAAATCCTGCGAACTGATGGTGGGGGTGAATACACCAGCTGTGCCTTACATGATGCCTACCTCACCAACAAAATGGAACGATTCATCAATTTTTCTGACCACATACCTCATAACAAAATGGGGATGGTAGAATATAAACATAGACACATTATTGAGACTGCTTGTGCTCTCATCTGCCTTTTACATTTTGGGTTGATGCTCTTTTTACCGCCGCCTACCTCATCAACAAAATGCCCATGAATGTCATCGATCATATTTCCCCTTACCAACACATACCCTTTGGTCCAAGCCTCAATCACCTCATAAGCTAGCACCTCGCTCCATACCGTGCATCTTCATTGGTTACTCATCCACCCATACAGGATATCAGCGTTACAACCCATCCACCAAGAAAATTATCATTTCTCTCCATATTACATTTAATAAACGAACGTTTCTCGGTAAGACTTCATTTCTTCTACAGACTCTATCTCCTCTTTCGACAGTCACTCCTAATCCACTACTTCTAACATCTACAAACATTCCATTTCGAACATCCAATACAATAATCAACTTACCAACACCTACTCCCAACATTTCTCCACCAGCTAACAGCTTGTCCCAACCGGTACCTCCCTCCACATTCCCAATCAGAGCTGGTCCTCCCTCATCCCATAATAACCCGCTCGCTCACAAGACACCTTAAGCCAGTTCATAAGTACCTCCCTCATCCCGCTCGCTCACAAGACACCTTAAGCCAGTTCATAAACTCAATCTCTCTCATCAGGTGGTTTCAACTCTTGATCCTATACAGTCAAACAACCAAGTGCTCCCATTGGCGCCATGCTATGGCAAAGAAATTTGATGCATTTCAGAAGCAAGACACTTGGAAGCTTGTTCTAACTCCTACCGACAAAACCATACTATGCTCCGACTGGAATTGCACAATCAAATTACACTCTGATGGAACAATGGTTCGTGACAAGGTGAGGCTAGTTGATCAAGGGTATAATCAAGAGTTCAGTATCAACTACAACGAAACCTTCAGCCCGGTGGCTAAAAAGCTACGATTTGTTTCCTACTGACAATTGCTTTACATCACAATTGGGAGGTACTTCAATTTGATGTATCCAATGCATTTCTGCATGACAATCTTTCCAAAACAATTGACATGAGTTAACCTCCCAGCTTTATTCCTCCCCAGCTTTCAGCCTTTCTCAGAAAGCTCTCTATGGCCTCAAACAGGCCCTGAGACAATGGTTCCTTCTGCTCTCTACATTCTTCAGTGAACGGGGATTCGCTATGAGTAAAGCCGATTCGTCCTTGCTTCTTTACCGTCGAAGCACTACAACCATCTATGTGCTGGTTTATGTCCATGACATGCTTATAACAGGTAATCAAACAGAGATCATTTGTCAACCTATGGAGTAACTTATTTCCAAATTCCAATCATATGTCAACCTATGGAGTAACTTATTTCCAAATTCCAACTTAAACATCTTGGGCCAACCTCATGCTTTATGGGTATATTGGCCAACCGAACTCCCACCTCTTGAGTTCTCTCACAATCCCAATACATATCTTTGATTCTTTTCACTGCCGACATGATAAAATAAAGCTCAGTTAATACTCCCTTACATCTCAAGCAATCGAGGCCACCCGCACCAAGTAAAAACCCTTTCACAATCCCACTTTATATCGTCAACTTAGCAAATCTCTTCGGTATCTTACAATAATAAGGCCATATATTTTATTTGCGGTCAACCAATTGTGTCAAAATATGCACTTCATGACCGATCACCTCTTCAACTTGTTGACTCGCCTCCTTAATTATCTTAAAGGCACATAAATATTTTGGCCTACACCTATCCCTAGGGAACCTTCAACTTCACACCTATGTTGATGCCGATTGGGCAAGTGACGCCATGACAAGAAAATCTACAACGGGCTTCTGCACATGCCTGGGTGACACCCATTTCCTGGACAATAATAAAACAAACGACTGTGGCCCACTCTTTCATAGAGGCAGAATATAGAGCCCTTGCTTTGGCAACCACAGATGCCATATGGTTGCGAAGACTATTGGTTGAATTTGGACTACAACCTTCCACACCTACTCCAATATATTGCGATAACATCTCTGCTATGTCCATTGCCAGAACCAAACATATCGAGATAGACTATCAGTTTATCCGATAACACATTGACGAGGGACAAATTCAGCTCAAATACCTCAATTCCCTGGACTAACAAGCTGATATTCTTACAAATGGTCTACCGAAGAACAAATTTATCTCTCTTAGATCCAAGCTAATGGTTCGTCCTCACGAACAACGGCTTGCGGGGGAGTACTAACTGTCTCTGTGCAAATGCTCCACTTTCTCCATATACCTGCTGCGACATTAGTGGACAGGGGAGTGGTCTCTATTTCATTTACATTTACATCTTATTTGCATTTCTTTTTGACCTGTTATAATATAGGATTTCTGATGTATGGCTTCGGTAAGGGTGTAAGCAAAAGTATTATGATGCTACTTTGATAATTCTCTCTGTATCTGTTTTGCTCTCATTTTATGCATCGACATATTTTGTGTTATGGATATATTGTTGAAACACCGGCAATTACACGAGGATTGTTGCTGGATAGTATGAGGTTTACTCTTATGAGTTCTCTTTTAACTACTAATTTTAGTGTATTTGTGATGGAATTAAATGTGAAATTTAAGATTTTCAGGATTTTTTTCTTTTTTTTTCAAATCAGATTGAAAAGTAGCATAATTAGTGCCTGGCGAAGAAATGCTTTATTTAAACTCAATCATTATAATGGTAATAAGATTGAGAGATTAGGATTGTAAAACTTTATTATTGTTTTCATATTGAAAACGGCATTGATGGTAAAATGATGTATGCTATTAATGGGGTGATCTATGTGTAATTTTTGGAGTGTTTTGTGCATTATTATTTTTTTTTAAATTTTATTTCTTGCAATTATTTGTATTATATCTCACTTAATTCCCAATATAATTTTAGTTTTTGCTAGTTTACTCCAAGAAAGTATATTTTTTTCTTTATTTATTGGCCTTTGAGATACAAATCCTAATTTCCTTTGTATGATCTGTATCCATAGCTAAACCCTAAATCATATTGCATCACTTAGGTTTGGATTTTATAGCGGTTTGCCATTATGCAATCGACATGTTGCTTTCTTTTTATTCTTTGCTTTTGCTCCTCCCCGGTATTATCAAAACATAGAAAAATCTCTATTCACTTTTATGATATTATTTTTTTTACCATAAGCAACTTTTTATATTTTGCTCAGGAAAAAGCTCCCTATGAAGACAAAGCTGCAAAAAGGAAAAGTGAGTATGAAAAGCAAATGTCAGCATACAACAAGAAGCAGGTGATAGTTAATTATTTTCCATTTCTTGAATCTAAATATTTTCTTCTCATCATTGTTTGGCTTCCCATTTAATGTTTCTTATCTTTGTAGGAAAGCAATGCTGATGAAGGTGATGAGGAGTCTGATAGATCTAAGTCTGAAGTCCATGATGAAGATGATGATGAAGAAAGCGGAGAGGTAGGCATTTGTTTCATACTAATACTTTTCTCATTGGACTTGGACCATCTCTGTTATGAGAAGGCCTTATTGAGTTCCTATTGATGCAGTTATTATTATTTTTTATATCTTTCATTATAAGAAATAAAAAAAAAATTCAGCATCACCAAGTTGATCACATTCCCATTGTGACAACATTCATTTTTTCTTCTTCTTGTCACTTTTACTATGAACTTTTGGCGCAATTTAATGTGCTTTTTTTTTAATTTTTAATTTTTTTGAAGTTTTCATAATTTAATGTGCTTTTTTTGATTTGTCCTTTTTTTTTAATTTTTAATTTTTTTGAAGTTTTCAAACTGTACCATTGATACAAAGTCTCAAGTGTTTTTTAAATTTAAATTGTTTTGATGTTTTTCCCCCCTTATTCTGTCATGAATTGGCTACATACTGTATGAAAAATAGATGGGATGGTTATGGTTAAGGATGTGTTGGATTATACACTTATGTAAACATTAAAGGGTATCCAAATAAATGAAATATAATTTTTGAAGGGAAGTAAATTGATAAAAGGCGGCATTGAATAATTTTAACATTTTTTATGTTTGTTATCTTTCTTGCAAGTGCTCTTTGCCTTGCTTGAACTTGTAATATTTTTCATCTTTTAGTGTAGAAGTTACCTAAAAAAGTGACTAAATAACAGGCATTTTCATAAATTTTCGATTAATTTTGTGCTTTTGGGTTTCGATTGATTATTCTTTAGATTAAATTGTAGGGATATTTGTGTGTTGTCAAAAGGTTTCTTCTTTATAAAACAAACAAAGAAGATTTTAAATGAATTTGAAAACCCAGTTATTTCGTGTGATAAAATCAAATTATTAAAAATTTACAGATCATTGAGAATAAAATTTGACTGTGTTTGATATGCTATATGATTTTGTGTGCTTGACAGTATCACTTTATTTCAACTTGAAACTGATCCTTTTTCTTTAAGCTAGGGTTTTAGTGACTGGTAGTGTTCTTTATACTCTTGTGGCAAGTATTGGAAAAGTTCAGGTTTTAACAAGGAGTGGTTTTTACGCTTGATGGTTATCATGTGTTGAACTTATGTACGTTGGCATAGAAAATGTGAAACATTTGTTAAAATCATGAACACACCTAACATTTTTTGTGTGCTACTCATGACATCCAATATTTGCTGCTTAATCCTTGATATAAATGCAATTATCAACACGTGGCATCAATAGTCCCTATGTAATCCTTGAAGTATAATTGTGCTGTTCTCATCATCAAATATCTTTGATAGGGTTTGACAAAAATAGCTGTTAATTAGAGGTAGAATATTCATTTCTTTATGAACTTTTTCTCCTAGACCCGTGGAGAAATATCTTAATAATTGTTTCTAGTGTGTATGATATTCCCGGATGAATCTTATGGGCTCATTCTGAACAATGATTTATATGGTGATGGCTATCAATTCTCGAGTAGGAATTATTTATGTATCATGTAATTCATGAGAAGTGCCGAGCAAATCAACAAAGAAAATTGTGATTTCTTAAATATATTATGAATCTGTGTCCAGCCAACATTCTCCAATTGCAGTGCGTCACATAATTTAGACTAAAACTTATAGATCATAACACAAAAGAATTCCCCATGCACTGCTTATTAAGCATCCTATCATAAACATAAACATAATAAACACAAGCGTAATTGGGCTAACACAAGTATAATTGGAGTAAAACTAATTAGAACACTCGAATACAACTTTTATTCTATCTCCTACTTGACCACTTGATATTCCTATCAGTAGGCAAATGCCTCCCTCTTGTTCTACTCCTAAATGAAATGAATTGTAAAGTAATAAAATGCAAGATTCTAAAAATTCTCTGGAATTCGATCCAGCTCTTCCAATGTATCAATAATTTTGCAGGTCCTACAATGTGCCGTAGGGTCAAGGCTATCATACCATATATTATCTATAAAATCCTGAACTCCACTGGCTTGTGTATATGAGGTTATTCATCATCTGGACTCGGCTTTATTTGATTAATTTTTTTCGTCTTACAGGTTGAAGGACTATAGTGAGATTGAGAGCCTTGTTCTTGTTTGCAACTTTGGTTGTGAATGCCGCATGACCTCTTTGCTATTCATGAAATATTTAGAATGAGAAGAGAGAATTAAAAATGGGAGATTTTATGACCAAATTTTTTTTTTCTTGTTTGATGTGAAAAAGATGATTGGGAGTTGTACATAAATTTCTAAATAAACAATTATCTAGAATGAAACAACTATGAAAGACAATTTTTATTATGGAATCCAAACATAACCTCAATAAAAATTGAAAATTGGTTTCCACAATTGCTAGATTACTACAGATGGAAAGTTACCATTCATGATTGTTGCATCGTCATAGATGGAGAAGTGTTGGCCACACATTTAGGAATATTTCAACCGTTATTATAAATAATAAAGCCGGGATGTACATGTTTATCTTGCCTGATCTGTTGATTAGATTATCAAATCTCATTCTAAGTAATGTCTTGTGATTGGGATATTTACAGTTTGAAGATTTGTTAGAACATAATTTAGTTAGGTCTAGTTTGTTTTCCATTTTCTTGGGATGAAATGTTGATCTATCATAATGTGTTTAGTCTTGTCACGATGGATTGAATTTTTGCTAATACTTGTAGATAACATCCTGATTATTGAAGAATTTTTCCCTTGACCAAATGTCAAGTGCCTCTTAAAATCTATTCAACTTCAACACTATTTAATATCACTGATTGTTTCTTACTACAGGTTACAAAAATTTTGGGATGTTGATAATCTTTTATTACTGGGCTCCACACTCAACAAGTTGTACATAAATTTCTAAAGAAACGATTGTCTAGAATGAAACAACTATGAAAGACAATTTTTATTATGGAATCCAAACATAACCTCAATAAAAATTGAAAATTGGTTTCCACAATTGCTAGATTACTACAGATGGAAAGTTACCATTCATGATTGTTGCATCGTCATAGATGGAGAAGTGTTGGCCACACATTTAGGAATATTTCAACCGTTATTATAAATAATAAAGCCGGGATGTACATGTTTATCTTGCCTGATCTGTTGATTAGATTATCAAATCTCATTCTAAGTAATGTCTTGTGATTGGGATATTTACAGTTTGAAGATTTGTTAGAACATAATTTAGTTAGGTCTAGTTTGTTTTCCATTTTCTTGGGATGAAATGTTGATCTATCATAATGTGTTTAGTCTTGTCACGATGGATTGAATTTTTGCTAATACTTGTAGATAACATCCTGATTATTGAAGAATTTTTCCCTTGACCAAATGTCAAGTGCCTCTTAAAATCTATTCAACTTCAACACTATTTAATATCACTGATTGTTTCTTACTACAGGTTACAAAAATTTTGGGATGTTGATAATCTTTTATATATATATGGCTTAGATGAAATTTTTAATTAATATTTGTCACCACAGTATTGTAGGCATGAGTAACTTCTAAATCTTTTGCTAAGAACTAAATTATTTTGCATTACATCTAAATTCATTGCTGTCTTAGAAAAAATATTAAAATCTTTTGCTAAAAACTAAATTCTTTTGGATTACATCTAAATTCATTGCTGTCTTAGAAAAATATCAGATGAAAAATGAGCTTTAATTATTATGATTTAATAAACAAGGCTTGCTTGAGTGTTGCAATTATTGAACTACGTCATGACTATCCTCCTGCGAATTCTACTGTTATATAAAGTCAAGCTCGATCCCATCTAGAAAAGTATGTATCACATTACGCATTCTCTTGTTATCCCTCTCTTTAGTTTGCTAGATTCATCCTTAAAATAATAGGTTTTCTTTGTGCTTATATATATATATATATATATATATATAAACTGATATTGATGATGGATGGATATTTGTAGGAGGAGGAGGATGAGGAAGATGATGACTAAATGTTTCTTTAATCCATAGCATAGAGCCTGCATTCTGTATTATGGTATGTATGTTAGCTGCAAAAGTTAGCTTCTGAGATGCTAATGTTTCAGTTTTTATAGCTGTTGATACCCTTATCCTATGTAACTGTATTATTGTTCATCGCATGCTCCCTCTGCTGGCATTTCTAAAGTGGGTTCTGCTTAAGATTCTTATCATTTCCCTTTTCTTTACATTCTGTTCCATCTTTATAAATTGATATTTTATGGTGCGGAAATAAGGCAATCATGAAATTATTGACTGTCTGCTGCGTTCAGTCTAGTAATCTTTGTTTATGGGGAGGCGAATATGAAATATGAAATAAAGAGATTCATGAAGAATTGGAGGTGAAGAGATTATCAGGACAGATGGAATGCTAAATGTTATAAAATTTTCATTTTGTTTGTGTTGAGGAAACAAGACTGCCTAATACCTGAAGAAAACTAAGAACTGGACTGCCGAACACCTGAAGAAAACCAAGAACTGGACTGCGAACACCTGAAGAAAATCAAGAACTGGACTGCCGAATACCCTACTGATCGAAGGACTGAATTGCAGAATAATACCTGCAGGCCAAAGGGTTACCCTGCAGGTCGAATATCTGGACTGCCGAATGCTAGGCAACAGGGAAAAAAAACACAGAACAATGCACAGGGAATAGAAAATACAACACAAGAACACAAGAGAATTACATGATTTGATCCATAGGACTTACATCCACAGGAGGGAAATCATCAAATCCACTAAGGCAATAAAGAAGATTTACTTAGCTTTTACATTAACAAATGAGCTCTCATCTTGCCATGATCTCTCTCTTAAATCACCTTTATACAAGATCTCCAAGATTCTCTTCTCACTCTCCACAAGTTATCCTCTTCTTTCTCTCACAACCTGATTTTCTTTCCTTCCACATTCCCTACAAGTGTTCCTCATTATAACTAAATCTCTAACCCGATTCACCAATTGGAAGCTTCCTTAATTCTTTAACAAATTTGATAGAATTATAAGTATGACCCATGCCTTAGTCTAGTAATTGCGAGTCATTGTAACAATTTTCCACGTTGACTTTCAAATACAAAATTTTGAATAGAGATTCCCTCCACCTTGCCCGTAGGGGTCCTTAGCCCTTGGTTGAGTTCACTAAGTTCATACGGTATTTGAACTTGGTTGTAGGTAGAACCTTTTTGAGCATGTAAGTTTCAGATTGAAGGTTGTAGTAGAACCTTTTTGAGCATGTAAGTTTCAGATTGAACAACGTTAAAGAAGTTACCAATGACTTTTCTTCCGATTAGAGAATATATACCATTTTTTCTGACTCCTTTCATGATTATAAGAGAATCTTTATTACTCTAATACAATCATTTTCCGCCTTGAAAGAATTGCCACTTAATTCCAACATACCTAAAGAAATCAGATTCCTTTTTGAGTTCTGGTATGTACCTAACATTTTGCAGTATTCGTTCAACTCCATCAAACATCTTTATCTTGATTGTCCCACTGCCAACAACCCTGCGAGCTGTTGTCTCAAAGTAGTATTGATCCACCGTTGACCAGTTGGAGTGTCTCAAATCAATCTTTATGAGGACACATATGGAAGGAGCAATCTGAATCAATAATCCACTCTTTGTTGCTTGATTCAGACTCGATAATTACCAAAACACAGTAGTTATCAGATGTTACACTTGCTTCTCCCGATTCTTTTGACTTTTCTTGATATTTTTTCTTCTTGTCAGGACAGTTCTTCTTGAAGTGACCTTCCTTGTAGTAATAGTAACATTTGAAATGTTCATTTGATAACTGATTTTCCCTCTTCTTTCCTTGCCTCGATCTTGATCTCTTCTGATCGTTTCTTGAATATTTCTTGTCCGATTTTCCTCTCACTACAAATCCATCTCTACTGATTTCCTCATTTATGTCATGTTTTTTTTGAAGTTCTTTGACTCTAATCAGCGACTGAACCTCTTCTAGAGAAATTTTTTGCACCCTTTTATAGAGCATCACATCTTTGAAGTGCTTGTAACTCTTGGGAATGAAGCTTAACAATAGCAATGCCTTATCCTCGTCATCCACCTTAGCATCGATATTTTCAAGATCATCAATAATCTTGTTGAACTCATCGATTTGCTCCGAGACAGATGTATCTTCATGCATCTTGAAAGTGTACAGATGTTTCTTCAAGAAGAGCCTATTCGCCAAAAATTTTGTCATATAGAGTAGTTCGAGTTTGGCCCAAAACACTTGAGCTGTCGTCTCCCTCGACATTTCCCTCAAAACTTTGTCACCCAAGCTAAAGATTATCAAGCTGTGAGGCTTGTTCAGGATGCCGTTCTTCTCTTTCTCGGACATCTCAGCGGCAATGCCGCCGGCCCTTGCAAAGCTTTTGCGACACCTTGCTTTACCAATATAACTCTCGTCTTGACTTTTCACAGGTCGAAATCATTCTTTTCGGTGAATTTCTGGAAGACGAATTTGGCGGTTCCCATTGTCGTGACTAGGATTCCCACTGACGATACCAATTGTTGAAGAAAACAAAACCGCCAAACACCTGACGAAAACCAAGAACTGAACTGTCGAACACCTGTAGAAAACCAAGATTATTGATGATCTTGAAAATATCGATGTAAAATTGTTACAATGACTCGTAATTACTAGACTAAGGAAAATGACATACTTGTAATTCTATCAAAGCTATTAAAGAATTATGGAAGCTTCCAATTGGTGAACCAGGTCTACTTGTGCAAGGCTCATTAGTTATAAATAATGAGGAGCACTTGTAGGGAAGGTGGAAGGAAATAAAATCAGTTTGTGAGAGAAAGAAGATGATAGCTTGTTGAGAGTGAAGAGAGAATCTTAGAGATTTTGTATCAATGTGATTTAAGAGAGAAATCATGACAAGATGAGAGCTCATTTCTCAAAGTAAAAGCTATGTAAATCTTATTTATTGCCTTAGTGGATTTGATGGTTGATTTCCCTCCCGTGGATGTAGTCCCATGGAGTGAACCAAGTAATTCTCGTGTTTCAAACCTCTCTGTTGCCCAACATTCGACAGTCAAGGTATTCGACCTGCAGGCTAGTCCTTCGGCCTGCTGGTATTATTCTGCAATTCATTCTTTCGGCCTGCATGTATTATTCTGTAATTCAACGAAAATAATTATTTCGGCTTATGGAGAGTCAAGACGAGAGCTCTATTGGTGCTACAAGGTGTCGCAAAAGCTTTGCAAGGGCCGTCGACATTGCCGATCGAGATGCCCGAGAAAGAGAAGGACATCATCCTGGACAGGGCTCACAACTTGATAATTTTGAGCTTGGGTGATAGTTCTGAGGGAAGTGTCGAGGGAGATGACGACTCAAGCGCTTTGGGTCAAACTCGAACTACTGTATATGATGAAATCTTTGGCTAATTGACTCTTCTTTAAGCAACGTTTATGCTCTTTCAAAATGCATGAAGATAAATCCTTCTCAGAAAAAATCAATGAGTTCAACAAGATAATAGATGGTCTTGAAAATATTGACGTCAATATGGATGATGAGGACAAGACACTGCTACTGCTAAACTCCATTCCTAAGGGCTACGAGCACTTCAAATATGCGATGCTCTATGGACGATGCTCTATGGAAGGGTGCAAGCAATTTCTCTAGAAGAGGTTCAATTGCTGATTAAAGCCAAATAACTTCAAAGAAAACATGACATGAACAAGAAAATCAACAGAGACAGTCATACCGTTAAAGGAACATCGGAGAAGAAAGATTCAAGAAGTGGTCAGAGCAGATCAATGTCAAGAAAGAAGGGCGAAAATTAGTCATCAAAGAGACCTTACAAGTGTTATCATTGCTACAAGGAAGGTCACTTCAAGAAGAATTGTCCAGATAGGAAGAAAAAATTTCAAGAAAAGCCTAAAGAATCAGGAGAAATAAATTTAGCATTTGATGACTACGATTCAGCTGATAATTTGGTAATTACTGAGTCTGAATCAACACAGAGTGGATTCTTGATCCAGTCTGCTCATTCCATATGTTTCCTCATAAGGATTGGTTTGAGACACTCCAATTGGTCAACGGTGGATCAGTACTGCTTGGAGACAACAAAGCGCAGGGTTGTTGGCAGTGGGACAATCAGGATAAGAATGTTTGATGGAGTCGACGAATACTGTAAACTGTCAGGTACATACCAGAACTCAAAAGAAATCTGATTTCTTTAAGTATGTTGGAATCAAGTGACTGTTCTTTCAAAGCGGAAAATTGTTATTTCAGAGTAACTAAAGTATCTCTTATATTCATGAAAAGAGTTAGAAAAAATGTCTTATATTCTCTAATCGGAAGAACTGTAATTGATAACTTCTCTAATGTTGTTCAATCTGAAACTGACATGCTAAAAAATGTTCTATCTCAAGTTAAGTTCAGGTACTGTTTGGACTTTGTGAACTCAACCAAGGGTTAAGGACCCCTTGGGGCTAGGTGGAGGGAATCTCTATTCAAGATTTTATAATTGAGAGTCAATGTGGAGAATTGTTACAATGACTCACAGTTTGTAATTCTATCAAAGCTGTTAAAGAATTATGGAAGCTTCCAATTGGTGAACCGGGTCTACTTGTGCAAGGCTCATTAGTTATAAATAATGAGGAGCACTTGTAGGGAAGGTGGAAGGAAAGAAATAAAATCAGTTTGTAAGAAAAAGAAGATAACTTGTGGAGAGTAAAGAGAGAATCTTGGAGAAAGAAAAAGAAGATGATAACTTGTGGAGAGTAAAGAGAGAATCTTGGAGATCTTGTATCAAGGTGATTTGAGAGAGAGATCGTGAAAAGATGAGAGCTCATTTCTCAATGTAAAAACTATGTAAATCTTATTTATTGCCTTAGTGGATTTGAAGGTTGATTTCTCTCCCTTGGATGTAGGTCCTATGGACCAAACCACGTAATTCACTTGTGTTCTTGTGTTGTCTTTTCTTTTCCCCGTTCTTCTGTGCATTGTTATGCATTTTATTTCTGTCTGCCCAACATTCAACAGTCTAGGTATTTGACCTACATGTATTATTCTGCAATTCAGTCCTTCGACCAGTAGGGTATTCGATAGTCTAGTTCTTGGTTTTTTTCAGCTATTTAGCAGTCAAGTTCTTGATTTTCTTCAGGTGTTCAACAATTTAATTCTTGCTTTTCTTCAAGTGTTAGACGGTTCTGTTTCTTCAACGATTGATTTT